AAAAAAAAAAAAAAAAAAAAAAAAAAGTAACTGGATGGGTATAGGAACTGACAGCTAAGTTGTGCCTGGCTAAGAAGGAATCTCGTTTACCCAGCAAGCAGCTATGTGTGGGGTACATTCCTGCAGTCCCTGTTATTTGGGAGGCTACACTGGAATGATCACCTAAGTCAGGAGTTCAAAACCAGCCTGGTAAACAAAGTGAGACCCAACCTTATCTTCCAACTCACGTGTCGGGTAAAAAAAACAACAAAAAACCCAGCAGGAGCTAGTCAGAAGAATAGTTATGCCAATACCATAAACTGTTCTTGCATTTAATATCAAACTTTTCCAATGGCTTTAAAATAACCCTAGACCAATTTCTCCTTTGTTTCGTTTTTTCCTTCAGTTCTAGGGATTGCATCCTGGGACTTGTGCCTGCCAGGTAGGCATGTGAACAGTACAGCTATCACCCCTGGCCCCAAGATTGTGCTCTTTGGATTGAAGTTATGGCCACACACAATCTATGAGAATTAGGAACAAAAATTTAATCAAAATATTTGTTTTACTTATTTATTTGGAGACAGGATCTCACACTAGGATTACACAGCTGTCCTTGAACTCACTGTGTAGCCCAGGCTGGTCTTGAACGCGACATGATTGTCCTGCTTTGGCCTCCTGAGTGCTGGGATCACAGGTGTGCATCACCACACCCAACCTGCATTTCTCTTTAGACTGGGGATATTAGGATTTTTTTTTTTTTTTTTTTTTTTTTTTTTTTTTTTTTTGGTACATGTGCAACACATTAACTATTTTTGTGGTATTTTGCTAAGGTAAATACTAATTCATTCATAAATAATTATTTGAATGCCAAAGTTTCTAGACACTTGTTGGGTAACAGAAAAATATATGCCTGTGTTGTTTATTTACCAGGCTCCAAAAAGGAGATAAATAGTTAGAAGATAACATTAGCTAAAAAACAAAGCAATTGTACTATTCACAAAAAATAACAGCCGCATTTCTGTTGTTTGGATTCAAGTCTAATTTTAGGGTTGGGTGTCACGCGTGGGTCCAGGCCCACTCCCATTTGCAGCACCTGCATTGCGAAGCGCGGTGGCAGACCGTGGGGAAGCACCATCCTCAGGTCCTGCAGGGGGATGTCGTAGTGCTGGCCTTCGTGCCGCTCCCCATGCTGGGCCTAGGCGACAGTGCAGACATTTAGAACGGGATACACAGTGCTGAGGACTCTGGAGAGAGACACACTCATTTATCTGAGCCAGAAATGCTGGATGCTGTCCTCAGCTTCTGTGTACGTCCTGCACTACAGAGGGGGTGACCCATGATGACGCCAGCTGTGGAGGAGAGTAGCTCTGGGTGTGAGAGAACAGAGACAGTCCTTGTAGCTGTGATGTGGGAGAGATGCTCTGGTCATGTGACAAGATAATCTGCATGCTGCTGTTTCCATAGAAACCTCAAAGGAACTGGCAGATAAAGGGACTACAATTACAGAGGAAGCTGAAAAACACTTCAGTAATTTCATTCATTTATTCGATTTCATTTTGTGCTTATAAAAATAGGTGAATGACAGACACTTAAAACACACATGCTAACATTTTTTGGGGCAGCAGGCAATTCTTTTATTTCCATGTAGCTATATTTAATTTTTATTTTATTTAGTTTTTTTGAGACATGGTCTTAGTATGTAATTCAGGCTGGCCTTGAACTCACTATGTAGCCCAGACTGGCCTTGATCTCACAGGAATCCTCCTGCCTCAGCCTCCCAAGTGCATTACAGATGTGTGCCACCACGCCCCACTCTACATAGGCACATTTAAGATGGGTAGACTTGGGGGAGGGGCAGGGACAGAAATGCTGGTGGGTTCCTTCACATTATAGCACAGAACACACAATTAAATTTTATTTATGAGAGGCAGCAGCAGTGATGGGGAAGGAGAGAGGAAGTTGCTATTCAGTCTAACAGGACCTCAGAAAATGAAGCACTGGATGCTGCTGACTCTTGGCTTCTGCTGACAGACTTCACTTTAGACGCTGCCCTTTTCAAGACAAATCAAGTTAGCACCTTGACACTTTCCAGACACCAGGAAATCCATTTACCAAGGTGGGAATAATACCAGTTTGGTTCTTAGGAAAATGGGCCTGACCTGCCTGGTTGTCTGATTTGGGGCAAGTACGTACTTTGATTTCTTTCAGATTCTCCACACCAGGGCTTGGTAAGCTAAGGCTGGTCATTTCTTTTTATATTGTGAAGTGCAGGGGATCGAACCCAGGGCCTTGCATATGCTAGGCAAGTGCTCTACCACTGAGCTACATCCCAAGCCTTAGTTATTTGTTTATAATTAAACATTTATGGAACACAGCCATACTTACTTGCTAATGGCAGAGGTGAGTAGCTATGATAGGCCCTGTTATAACCCATAAGCCTGAAATATATACTTTCTAGCCTGCCACCCAACACACAATAAGGTCAATATAAGTGTTACGTTTACCCTGCAATGAATTACACTAGGAAGTTTTTACTATGTTCCTCCTCTGTACTCAGCAGGAGCCTTCGCCTGAGGTGCACCCATTGGTAGGGATTAACTCAGAAGTGCAGGGACTCACCGCCGGCCTTCCTTTATGGCTGTGCCGGCTGCGGCGCCAGAGCCTCACTGCAGGTGCACTGTCTGACTGATTACGCACACACCGGCTTCACTTCTTTAACTGCACTTTTCTTCAAACAGTGAAGATACAACACAAATTCTAATCCCTGAAAAACCCCATGCACATATCAGCAACTCACCGGGTCACTTTCATTGGTACGGGAAATAGTTCTGGGCCTCTCAACTGGAACCTGGTCATTGGGGTGAGCAGCAATGCTTCGGGTAGCCTGGGTTCCCAAGTGCAAAAAACACCGAGGGTCCAACTAGAAAAGAAACCAGTGCAGTGTTGTAAAATTACCGCACCATTTCCATAGCAGGGGAACATGTCACTGATGTGTTCTAATTCTGTGGGAAAGGGATTCTTATCGCTGTTTATGATCCAAGTCCACGCCTCTCACTCATCCTGTCACTCTGCTCCAGCCTGTGCACTGCTGGTCAGGGAGACGAACAATTCTGTCAGCTTGTTCAGGAACGTGGCACAGCAATCGACACCTAAAGCAGAAAGCTTCTCTTTTCTTCTTGAGATGGGGTTTCACTATGTTGCCCGGACTGGCTTCGAACTAACTCCTGGATTCAGGTACTTCCATCTCAACCTCACAAGTCGTTGGGACTACAAGTTCCTGCCACGGTATCCGCTTAGGGTATGTCTGGAGTAGTAGTATTACTATATTTTGTTTGTGGTCATGGGGACTGAATCTGGGGCCTTTGCACTGAGCTACAACCCCATTTTTTAAATTTGTCACTATGCTTTTGAAATGGGGAGGCCAAAATCTCTGTCCCAAAATTCAACTTGCTGAACCTTCCAGATTCTGAAAATGGATTCAACTTCCCAAAGACGCTGCTCCCCTTCACAGGAATGAACTTTATGGATTTCTCATCAAACAGCAGTCCACATCATCTGAGTATTGGCTGTGCTCAAGAAACAATCAGAGGCGAGGAAGGGGAATAAAAGAATTAAGATGTCTTGTATACCTGTGCCTACACCCCAGAGTGAATCCAGTCATTATGTACTGCAAATAAGGACTAAGAAAGACATAAATCCTTTTTTTAATAAGTTATTTTTTGAGACGGTCTCGCTATGTAGTTCAGGCTGCTTCAACGCACTGTGTAGCCCAATCTGACCTCAAACTCCTGTCATCCTCCTGCCTTAGCCTTCTGAGTGCTGGGGTGACAGGTGTGCATCACCACACCCAGGTATAAGTAAAATTTTAAAAAAGAAGCGATCAGCCAAATATCAAAGCCATGAAGGCCAAAAACAGACTGAAAATGACCCAGATTTGGGGAGACTCAATGGCCACAGGGAACCCTGGTTTAGACAGAAAAAGTGACGCGCAGCAAAGTGATACAAGGCCTCGAGTTCTCCAGTCGCACTGCATTCATGTTAATTCCCAGTGAGAAAGGCTGCATTTAGGAGAGAGAAGACACTCTGTATCATTTTTGCAGTATTCCTAGCCTAAAACTGTTTCAAAATAGAAGTTAAAAAGTAAAAGCCACAACCAGGCCCCAGCTTCCAAAGATCAAAACCTGTCCAAAAGGGCCAGGGCAGGGGTGGCAAACCTATGGCACATGTGCCACATCTGGCACACACAGCCCTCTCCTTCAGCAAGCAAGCCAAGGTGCCCCAGCTACTTATGCTTGTGAGCAGCTGCTTTATGCTTTGAATTCTGTCACATCTGATACAGAAAATAAACAGATGACCCGAGCACTGGATGTACTGCTGTCAGACCCACACAGAACGAGCCCAGGTTTCACAAATGGCCAGTGTGCACACAACAGCAAAGATCACAGCTGCACAGAAACACAGCAAATGCAGATTTTACCTTTCAATAGAAAACTATCATCAAGAAAAAAAAAAAACTAGCATTCAGGAAAATCCAAGGGGTTCAGGAGCTGGGTCAGAACCAGGCCAAAGACCAAATACAAGAACAAGGATGCTCTTGGCGGCACCCCACCGCTCAGGAGTTACAAGGGTTTTAGAAGCTGTGTCAGGAATCAGAGTCAGAACACGTGTATTTCATTATGTCACACGTGCTAACTGGACTAAGCCTACAGCCTTTACCACTGTACTCTGCTTTTTCCTAGGCAACCTCAACCCTTCATTTCTGCAGTTATTTTCTGACCCTGATCTCTTTTTTTGTACCAGGGATCAAACTCAGGTCCTTGTGCTTGCCAGGCAGGTGGTGGCACCACTGAGCTAAATCCGCAGCTTCTGATCCTGACCTTACCTGAGAATAAGTGAATTAATAAACTCATCGTGCACCTTTATTTCAATTTGTTGAAATTTTTACTAACAAAATTTGTATGTTTATGGTTTTGAGTATTTACTTATAAAGTTAATGAGAACTACAACATTCTGATGATATCTAAAATCAGAAATTATGGGATGGTTGCAATTTCCTGTGTTAGCATGCAATGAAGTTTAGCTTTTCCAGCAGGCGTGATGGTGGCACATACCTATAATCCCAGCACTTGGGAGGATGAGGCAGGATCACTGAGAGTTTGAGGCCAGCCTCAACTATGCGGCGAGACTCTTTCTAAGAAAATTATAAATAAATAGACAGAAACTTTTATTCTGTTCACACTACTCAAATCTTTTTTTCTCTTCTAGCAGTGAGGAGTGAACTTGGGGCCTTGCACATGCTAGGCCAGTAGCCTGCCACTGAGCTACACCCACAACCCTTATTCTTGACACAAGGTCTAGGTTTCTCAGTCTGGCCTTGAACTTGTGATTCTTCTGCCTCAGCCTCCCAAGTAGCTGGAATTACGGGTACGGCTACCATACCCAGCCTTTTTGCTTGTTTGTGGTGCCAGGGACCAAGAACCCACGTACCGTGGTCGTTCTGCTTTTCTAAGTGTCTCATCAGCTTTACCTATTCTGGTGTGATACTGGCATCCCCTGCCTGGAGCATTTGGTAGGGAAGGTCAGGAGGCATTTCTGGTTGTCACACTCCGGCAAAGGAAGGGAGGGTGCTACTGAGACGTCTCGTGTGGAGGCCAGGGATACTGCTGAACATCCCACAGTGCACAAGAGTCCTTTACAGCCAAGAATGATCCATCCCCCAGTGTCAGTGGTGTTGAGGTTGAGAAGACTGATCTAAATCTTGAGTCCTGTAGGAAAATTTGGTTTGTGGAGACTAATCTCATTGCTTTCATAATTTTTGTTAGAAAAACAACAAGATTTTATTGTGTTGCTTTTCTAATTCTCACTACTGTATCTACATCTCCGGGTTTTGATTCCTAGAACATTAGGGCTATGGAAGAAAAGGAGTTCAGAGACACTGATTACGACAAAGCTGAGCAGTGTAAGACTTCAGGTTCTCAGCTCTATGTCCCTAGGCCAGTGGTGGTAAATCCATGGCACGTGCTGCAGCAGGCTGTTTGCCCAGCCTGGGCAATTTAGCAAGACCCAGTCTGAAAATAAAAATCCAGCCAAGTATGCAGCTCAGTGTGAAGGGCCTGGATTCAATCCTCATACCAAACAAACAAGTAAATAAAAAATTCTGAGTACCTGCCACATAGAAGATTCTGAAAAGTTACTTGGTAAAGAAATGAAAAACCAAGCATAATAGTGCTTGTAATCCCAGCACTGGGGAAGCCGAGGCAGGAGGATTACCATGAATTTCAAGGCCAGCTGGCATGAACTACATAGCACAACCTTGTCTCAAAAAACAAAAACAATTCCCAGGACTGAAACAGAACAAAAACCAAGAAATGAAAAGACTAAAGTAAATCAACAGATTTTATTCCATTTGTATATGATTCCTACTATCAGTTGTTACAAGTCAAAATTTGCAACTTGAGGCAGGAGTGATGGAACATGCTTGTTATCCCTGCACTTGGGAGGGAGCCTGAGGAGGGAGGATCACCATGAGTTCAAGGCCAGCCTCAACTACAAAGCGAGACCCTATCTCAAAAGCACAGAACAAGGGCTGGGGATCTGGCTCAGTGCTTCCACTGCTTGCTTCACAAGTGCAAGGGCCAGAGTTCGATCCCTAGTACCAAAAAAAAAAAAAAAAATCAAAAGAACAAAACAAAAACAAACAAAAAATAAATTGGCAATGTGTTTTTCTTTTTTTCTTTCTGTTTTTTTGAGGCAGGGTCTCACTATGTAGTCGAGAATGACCAGGAACTCACTATGTAGCCCAGGCTGGTCTCAACTCACAGTGATCCTCCTGCCTCAGCTTCCTGAGTGCTGGGATTACAGGCTTGAGCCACCACGCCCAGCTGTGTTTTTCTTTTAAATACTTCATTGAAGGGATGATAATCAACAATAAAAAGTTAGTAAAGATAGCTGCAAACTTACTCTTGTTTCAAAAATTTTTAATTATCCTGTCACACTATAAATACAAGTATTCTAGTAAGATTTCTTACTTTAAAATTTTTATTGTGGGGGGGCAGTAAAGTAAATGGATAGGGAATGGAGCTATGACTGTTTTTGGTTTGTTATGTTTTTGGTGGTACTATATGGATTGAATCCAGTGTTTGCAATGAGCTATACTCCTGGTCCTTTTTATTTTTTATTTTGAGATAGGGCCTAACCCAGGCTGGCTTTGAACTTGCAATTCTCCTGCACCACTGTGCTCTGCATGACTGTTCTTCTGAGTACATACTTTGAACCAAAGTACTAGTCGATTGGCGTTCTCTAGAGTGTTCAGCTGTGGATAGATATAATACCATCTAAAGCCACGAAATCTACCTAAAGGCAGTTTCCACAAAGCATTCAGGGCTGTTGGCACTCACTCACCTTGTGGACTCTGGAGATGAGTCTTGTTACTCCTTTCAGTATCATTCTGCACTCTGAACAAAAGTGAAACGTTAAGTCACAGCTGGGAAAAGAACAATGACACACAAACTGACAGTACTAAGAATATATAAAGTATGCCAAAGAAGTGATAAAAACGAGCGGAAGACATGAATAGGCATTTCACAGAGAAAGGAGATAAATGGTTAGGAAACTCATGAAACTGTCAACCTCCAAATGTAGGGAAAGTGAGGTTTCCAGCAAATCCTGCATGTAAAGAGTTAAGCTTCTGTCAGAGAGAGCAATTAAAGCAGGAGAGCTGAGAGGCAGCCTGGCCCCACTTGGTAGTGAGCTTACTTAGTAGATAGAATTTACACCCACACACCCATATATAAATACATATGTATTTACTGTTCTCACTGTGTTAATGCAGGAAACTATACATGTAACCCTTTACTAATTGTTAACTGGCCTCGAGTGGAAGGCTCTGCTATAAATTTCAGTGAGAGCACTTTGACAAAACAAAGAATTTGTACACAGGCACCAAAGGGTCAGTGGCCAAATCAGGGGCCTCAGAGCCTAAAACAGCTGATCAAGTTGTAGCAGCGCTCAAGGGGCAGAGTCCCTTTCTCGCCATGTGATAAAAGGGGCTAAGAAGACAGAGCACTGGCTCCAGGCTCCCTAACTTACTCTGACAAGCTAGGGGTCTAGCTCCTCATTTCTTTCTTCCTTCCAACAAAGTGTCTTTGTCTCTCCTTCTGAACTTATATCTCTAATTTTTATTGGTACAATGTTTATAAACCCCAGATAAAGAAATATACCCTCCCTCCAGACGCGACACTAACATACATATAGGGGCAATGCAAATTAAAACCATTAACAACCACTACTTGGGGAAAATGGAAAAGCCAGATAACAGCAAATGTTAAAGATGCTGTGGAAGGCAGGGGATTTAGCTCAGTGGTGCCACCGCCTGCCTTGCAAGCCCAATGTCCCGAGTTTGATCCCTAGTACCAAAAAAAAAAAAAAAAAAAAAAAAAAAAA